AACAAGTTTTGCACTACTGGAGAGCAGGATGAGATCTAGCAGGAAGGGCACATTTCTCTAGGAGTGCATCCTCTGAACAGTGGTGGCTGGCAGAGTGACAGTGGCTGTCGTGGCAGGGCTGCCACCGCCGGCATTGCTGCCTGGTGGTGCCAAAGGCTGGGCACTCTGGTCAGAGAGCAGTGAGGTGCCAGGGGGAAGAGCTGTTGTAGATACTGAGGGAGGATGGACAGATCTTAGTCTGTCTTGGGCCCTGCAGAGCCAAGAACCTGAGCTCCATGTCGAAAGGAAGGAGAGAAAAATAGAGATAAGCTTTGAGAGTCAAGGGTGGAAATTTTCAAGAGTGAGAAGGCTGGAGGTTGGTTACTGCTGACAGCAAAATTAAGGCCCCTGTTCCACCTGTGATTCATCAGGTACAGAGAAGGTAAAGTGCCCTGTGAAGAGGTGAGAGAGATGACCTCCCACCCTTCAGATGAGGCAGTAGATCCAGCAGAGCCTCAGCCCTTAGAAGGTTCCAGAAGAGGAGGGTGGTAGGTATCAGAAGCTCTCTCCTGAGGAGACAGAAGCCCTCGTGTGCCAGCCTGCTGTGCTGTCACAGGAGGTTTGCTGCTTGCCAAGAGCTCTCACATGAGCCTTGTAAAGAGGCTGCCAAAGCTTGTTTGTCTCCTGGACTGTGACCACCGTTGCTCATCCATGTGGGCACCCCTGATGCAGCCAGGGAAGACCTTGAGGAGTCAGGAGTGACTACATGGCTCTGAGTGCAAGGGTGAAGGGTGCAGGTGCCCAGCTGGGGTCTCCTCACTCCTGCTGGTGGAGGGGGGAAGGCTCTGGCTGGTGCAGGCACATCTAGCAGGAAGTCTGTAGCTGTGATGGTGCTGTTGTTAGCCAGGCTGTGATCTCCAGGGACACGGGGTATGCTCTGAGGAGCAAGGACTGCTGAGCAAAGTGATCTGAGGTCATCTCTAATTGGCTGCACAGCCTTGTGAAGGTGGCTTTAAATGATGCTTATTGGGGAAGGGGCTTTGTTCTCTGAAGAAGAGGGTGAGCAGAAAGATGCAGTCTATAGCTGAACTGAGGAGGGTGTGTAGGGAAGATGGAGCCAGGCTTTCCTTGGGGGTACAGAATGGAAGAAGGATGAGAGGCAAAAAAGCTGAAAGATGGGAGTTTAAAATCAGAATTATGGAAAGAAATGAGATGTCATGAGGGTCCAGATGCTGGCCGGATGCTGGCACAGGTTTTCCAGAGAGGTTGTGAGATTGCCATTCTTGGAGAAGCTCAAAACTTGTCTGAAGAACCAGTTTTTAACTCAAATTACTTTGCATAGGATGTTGGTCTAGGAGACCTCCAGAGGTTCTTTCAAACCGATATGACTTATTGATTCAGTAATTTTTTACAAATTATTCTGACACATTAGGGTTAGCCATGGCCTGATGTCTGAATTCAGAGTTATTTTAGTGAAGTCCTCTATTCTTTGCCATGCAAGAGATCAATCTGAGTATCTCCAGTGTTTCCTTATACCTTACATGTCATCATACCATATGGAGCTTGGATGTGATCTGGTATGGCAACCCTTGGATTAATTTACAGTTAGGAATAACAAGAATTTGTTTTACTTTGTCCTTAGGCACATGAACAGATGTGACTACTCTTGTGATGCATACAAATATTAGTCAATCATCATAATCAAAATGAATTGTTGACATTTAATTGTTTAGGTAATAGTCCCTGGCTTATATTTACATTAAATCCTATAATTTTAAGTAGCCATGAAACTTTACAACCTCTTCAGTAAATAAGTGGCACTGAGCACCTAAATGGCATAACAGTGGAGGAGGTATATGGTTAAAGGCTGTCTTTTACCTCCTTAAGTGGTAGAACTCTGTTTCTGGGAGAGGTCATGTGTGCCATGCTAGGAGAAGGTTTAGCTATTTTGCCTCCATCCAGTCTTGTTACTGAATTTAAAAAAAAGAAAAAGAAAAGAGGTGGAAATGTTTTCCTGCTCATTCTCTGTCTCGTGAGCAATGCATTGGCAGTAGTGGAAGAAGCAGTGCCCCAAACTGCCCTTGTAGGCAAACAGGTGTCATATCTCTTCTCACTGTTTTGTTTAGACATGGCCCTGGTTACAGAATTACATTTGTAGCAAAATGACATTCACCATTGATGAAATACAGCAAAGTGAGAAGGTGAGCATAGTGACTCTAACAATGCACAGCAACGTGCCATTATAATTCTTGTCTGAGATGAAGAAAGACTTTGTGACTCTTGGATCAGTTTTCATTCTGGCTCTGAGCGCATTACATTGAGCTCTGTTTATGACCCATGTTTTAATAGTAAATCCTATTTCTGTCTGTACTTAATTTCTAGGATTCGATAGGAGTTGCCAGTGAAAAGTGGTGTGAGTTCATGGGGTTGTTTAGAATTGTCTGACAACAGCTAGGAAACTGATTTAGCTTTCAGGAGAGAAAGTTAACATGGGGATTTTTTTTTTTTCTGTTCAGCACTGCAGGAGAAGGGATGTTTACCACTGAAACAAGTTCAGGACCAGGAGATTGCTTGTACTGTGAAATCTTGAGGTAGTCGAAATGATTTTTCCCTGGTTAAGGAGTGCAGTATGTGTCCAGGTATGAGAAGGACAAAGACAATCTGTGGATGATTGCTCAGGTGCTCTAAGCTGCAAAACTTCTTGAGAAGACAAGAAGCTGTTTTTCTTCCTCATGATACCAAGCATTGCTGCATTCCATATTCTTGCTGTAAAAGCACTTTGTGACAACCAGAATGGAGATTTAATTTAGCAATCAAACATTTCTATTATTCCCTATTTCGTGTCAGAGGAGTTGCTGGTGGAATACTGATATTCTGTGTGGAGGGAGTGGGGCTGAGGGAAATGCTGTATGGAGATGGGAAATGGCAGCTCTCACTTCTTTGCTTAAAGCTATTCTGCTTTGCTTTGGTGCTGCTGTGAGAAAATACATCTCTTCTAGATGTAAAGAGTGGATTTTTCTGCCTTCTGAGCAGAGGAAAGCTTCTGAGTCTCAGTGAGAACATGCCATTAAATATGTTTGCAGCCCATTAGGCCTGAAGGCTTCAACATGTGCTGTACCACTGAGAAGGAGATGTTTTTTTGAAATGTGATGGTTTCACTCATATGGTGTTTCCATTGTGTTTTACAAGAGAACATGCAACTTTTAAAGCCTTTTGGCACAGGTAACTTAGTTCCCACAGAGAAGTAAAGTGATTACCTAATAGTGAGTTAACAAGAAAAACCTTTTCCAAAGTTTGCATCTATGTTGAGCTTTTTTTCTTGTTAATGGGATCACAGAATAGTTTGGGTTGGAAGGGACCTTTAAAGGTCCTCTGTCCAGCCTCCCTAGAATGAGCAGGGGCATCTTCAGCCCAGAGAGAGCCCCATCCAACTTGACCTTGAATGTTTCCAGGAATGGGTCACCTACCACTTCCCTGGACAGTCTGTTCCAGTGTATCACCACCGTTGCTATAAATATCTTCTTTCTCATATCTAGTCTAATTCTGTCCTCTTCTAGTTCTAAAACATTGCCCTTGTCCTACTGCAACAGGTCCGGCTAAAAAGCTTGTCCCCATCTTTCCTATAAGCCCTCTTATGCTCTTTTTGAGTGCATACATTTAAATTTTTACAATTTAATTAATTAAATTCTTTAATACAAAAGCGTAGACGCTTCCTTACAGTTTTGCATTAGAAAATAAATTTTTTGCAGTCGTACACACCTAGCGTAGCCTGGTATACAGTTTTTTCTTCCTGCTGTCATCAGGACAAACTCATGGGAAAGAGTTTGAGCAGAGTGGGAAGCTCAGCTCTTGAACTGCTGAATCTGTAGGTCAGTAAGCAAAATCTGAGACTTTCAAAGGTGATTGTGGTTTTAGAATGAGATTCCTCTAATTAAGGGGCATTTTGACTATTACTTTCTAAAACAATTAGGTGTTTATTCCAAAAGGCAGGAAAAGACCAAACATCTCTAAAATTTCAGTGTGTGTTGTTGTGAGTCTGATCAAAATGTCCATGTGTGCTTTTGATACAGAAGAAAAACTTATAACTCTAATTTGTGTATCTCTGTCTGAATTCTGGCACCAGGTCAAAATAGACAGGTGAAGAACCTCGGATTTGATACAAGCTAGTAATTTTTGAGGAATAACATTTTGTCATAAGTGACTTGGAAAATTCAAGAGAGGAAATTACATGGATATCACACGTCCTTTATTTGCCAAAAAATCTCTCATGAATTCATTCAAAATAATAGTAGCCTCAGCAGCTGTAATACTAAAGAAAGAAAATAAACATTTATATACATAAAGAAAATAAACATTTATATACATAAGTATTTTGGTGAACACTGTAGTAGTAGTAATACTGCAAATAAAGACAATTATATACATATGTAGTTTGGTGAACACCTGTTAAAGTGAAATAGCATAGAAGTGCTTGAAGCATGTCATGATTTTCTTCTGAAGAATTTGACTTTCCGGTAATCTGAAAGATGACTGAAGAGTTATAGCTTGTAGGAAAATAAGCCAAAATAAATTGCATCTTTATAATATTCTTTATTAGAAAATGCTCTAGGGAGCATATAGAGTTTAAAAATTCAATGCCTTTTCCTGGTGATACTTTCATCACAAAATAATGGCATTTTCTTGCAGACTATTTCAAATTAATTATTTTAAATTACTGAGATAGTTGGTGGGTGATAGTTTTCGAGAGCTGATTTTGAGAGTGAAGTGGCTCCTTTGTTATGTGCAACTAGCCTTATGAGCAGTATTAATTATGCCGCATTGTAAAATTCTTCCTATTTAAATGGTGAAGTAAGATACAAGGAACGAATTATAATATTTAATATCTGTTGTTGCGATGGGCATATGGCAGGTAGAAGATAAAGAGGAGTAAAACTGAAGAAAAACAGTGCGTGAAAAGATCTGTTAATTGAACTGTGCTCCAATTCCCTAATCTCACAATTTTTAAAATTATTCTTCCGTAGCCTCAGACCATTCGGCAGACTCTTCAAAAGACACTGCAGTATTTTGAGCATCAAGTTATTGGGTAAGTGTTAATGTGAGGTGGGGAAAGGTGCATGGTAATGCTTTGCTCTGTGCTTTCCAATTCACAGCCTTCCATGATAAGCTTTTTAATTTAATTTTTAACTTTTTCTCTCAAATTCTTAGAGATGCTTTGGAATAGCAATACGTAACCTGGATGTAAATGGTAAACTGCTGTTCAGCACAATCCCATCAGACGGCGACTACTCAATGAACTGGAATGTTTCTTATAAAAAGAGAATAGCAACTTCTTTTCAGTCATAGAATATCAGGTTGGAAAGGGACCTTAAAGCTCATCTAGTCCAACCTTTCTTGGCAGAAGTATGGTCTAGACAAGATAGCTCAGCACTCTGTCCAGCTGAATCTTGAAATTGCCCATCATGGGGCAATTAATCCTTAATCCTTTGCCACCACTTCTGAAAGACATTCGTTGACTTTGCATTTGTATGAGTTGTTATAACTTTTTTTTTTCCGGTAGTTACAGAGATGCAGAGAAGAATTTTCACAATATATCAAACAGATGCTCCTACACAGACTGCTCTGGCAATGAAGAAACTGAAGATGTCTCAGGAATTCTCCAGTGTACGGCTAATGTGCTTGGTATGTGTTTTTTCAAGGGAATTTGTTTCCTTTAGTTGCAAGGAAGGTTTGCTGACCATCCTAATGCCAACAATGAAACAAGAAATTTTTGCTCCAACCACAGAAATTTAGAATATAGGGAGCAGCATACCAGTGCACTGTTACTACATTTGCCTCCTTTTCTACATACATTTTGAGCTTTTTAGACAATCCAGACATGATTTTCAGTGGAGGCAGTGAATGTGTATTGAGCAATACCCAGTGATTTGAGAAGTTTCAAAGGCTTTTGGCAAGTGGACTTGCTTCTGTGCAGGCCTTGGAAATATCTCTAGTGTTTTTATAGGGGCTCTGCAGGACAACAGACACTTTTATCTTCTGTGGGCCTGGTGGATGGAGGGCCTGAGAAACAGCAGCAGGGTGTACCTGAGTCATGAAACATTCTGGAAACTTAGATTTTCTTCAGCAAGAGGCACAACACTGAAATCTGACTGTGTACGATAAGTGAAGATAAGTTTTAACTTTCCATGTCAGGGGAATATGGTGAGGTGATAGTCTGCTCATGTTCTGGTCTTTACCATGGTATCCTGCTGACTTAAAATACTTTTGGAGGATATGCATTGTGTATCTGTCTTACTGCAAACTGTTAAGCAGATTTGGTGTGCTCTGTGAAACAGCAAACATGATCTAGTTTAGGGATGACTGTGTTTCACTGACATTCAAAATTTCAAAATGTTTTGGTTTTTTTTTTTTTTTTTTTGCTATCCAGTGCCTTATTCTGTAAAATGCTAGGTGCTGTCAGGGATATTCTGTGTGCCTTTAGCTGCTGCTAGAAAGAGGTGGCATTTTGTATTTTGCATGTCATGGAGAGAATTTAGAACAATCAAATTCTAAATGTGTCCAGTGTTATTTACCTTTTCTTTTTTAATTCTAAAATATTTGCATGCTAGTTCTCTAAAACAAATATGAGTGATAAGGTAGAACTCATGCAAAGCAGAGACTTTTCATGTTATCAGGTGCATATTAATATTATAAAAAGCCAGACCAGACATTCAGTACTTGTTTCACGATGACACAAAGTATGAGTTATAGAAAACAGTTATGAATAATTTTTCACTGTCTTAGTGCCTTTAAAGCAGTATGTCAGTCCCCGTACCTCAGCATGGCTGAATAATGTGCAACCTGTTTCTTCAGTTGTATCCTCAAAATGCATGTTCATTAGGGGCAGATTGGGGCCAAAGTAGAGGGATAACATCTAAGCATTACTATCTTGGGGAACTATTAAAGTGGGCTTTGTTGAAAATTAGGTTGCAGAGACTTTTTCTTGGACAAGTTTGCCTCTTAAAGAAAGAGTTCTTAGCAAAAAAAACCCACTTCAGTATGAGCAAAACCCTGAGATAATTTAAAAGCAATCCTTCTCCGTATCTGGGATAAGAACATAAGGGAATGAGCAGTAAACCCAACTTCTTTATTTTAATTGTAGCTTCTATCACAACAGGGAAAAAATTAATGGAGGCTGTGTAATTAATTCTCATATACACAATTATTTTTCTTGTTGAATAAGGATTGGTAAGATCGGCCTCTGTGAAAGAGGGATGTAACCACTGGGGTGTGTACCTGGAGCAAGTGGCATTGCTGAGACAGGAGGCAAGCATGAATCTGATTGTGTGATGAAGACTAGAGAAACTGTTGAACCAAATCTGGCTCTTAGTTCATTTATATGAGCAGTAAGAGACACTTGCTGTCTAGGGCTGGAAGAAAATGTTTCCTTAAAGATGATTAGAAGCATCTTCCCGCTCTCTGACCTTAGATACTGCCAACATGATTCACCTCTTCCAATCTCCTAACCACCTCTAAAAAAGTCATTTGGCATTCCTTATTCATCAGAAGACTGAAAATGCTGAGATCTCTGGTAAGCTTGGAAGACTGTGAGCAGATGCTTCACACTGTGGTCCTGGTGCTTGCGCTGCTCACAGGGAAGTGCTGACTGCAAGCTGTTCACTCAGCTCGGTGCATGTGATTTATCATGTATGGATGCTGCAATTTTCCTCCTGTCAAGTCAGCACTAAATTGTGTCACCATCTTCCTGCAGTGCAAGGACCTGGTTCTCCTTGTCTCCTTGCTGAGTCGCTCTGCTACAAGTCTAGACATCAGTACAAGTCTCCCTGCTTTAAACTACTGTAATGGAAGGAACCCATATCCATCAGATTCACATGCTGTAAACTGTGTGTGGTACCAGATCAGTCCCACTGTTTTCCTTTACAATGACAGCTTCTGAGGCTGTAGTATTTAATTTAACTTTCCATCCTTTCAAAAATAGTCCAGACAGCTTCATGATAGACTCAGCTTTCATTAATTGGTGCGTGCATACTTTTTCAGTGTCCTTCATAAGCATGTAGAAACAAAGAATCCTTTAGGTTGAAAAAGACCTTTAAGATCATCAAGTCCAATTGTTAATGCAGCACTGCCAAGTACACCACTAAACTGTGTTCAGAGGAGATTGACAGTATTGGTTTGAACCTATTTTAGAAATAAATGATAAGAGAAAGATGTCCATGATGAAGTATGTTATGTGGATTGCTACCACATTTCTTTCTTAGGTGACTATAAAGTTATATTGAGGTATGTTAGAGAGAAAAGTTATATCTGGAGAGATTCCTTATTTGACCTTGGGCAAGTTTTTATTCTTTCTGTGCCTCAATTTCCCATCTGTATAATGGAGATAACAGGATTTTTGTAATCCTTTAAACCACATGTCAGTGCTATTCAGATTTCAACCTTCTTGAAGTAAAGACATTTTCATACCCTTTGTACATTCAGCATTTTGAACAATGACAGCAAATCTCGTTTGGGACTGCTTTTGTCCTCATGATTTAAAATAATTTGATTTCATGTAAGATTAGAATGTGCATTTTTACTTAAATGCTTCCAGAATAAAGCAGAAGACCTTCATGTAGCTGCAAATTAAAACTTTGGCAATAGGAATAGGAAATTACAGATAAAAACTTTTTTTTTTGTTTTGTAACTGCTATTAAGGAATTTATTCCGGGACATAAAGCCTTCATGACCTATCTCCTGTTTATTTCTTTGGCAGATATTCAAAGAAAGTCTGTGCTACTGAGTTCTACAAAGCAGTAGAGAAATGCTCGATTTTCCTTTTTGAACCCCACTCAGTAGTTCCAATATATCACATGATATTTCTCACATCCCAAATGCACAAGTCAGATAAAAACTGTACAACCTTCACCTCACCTCATCCAAACAATCTTTTCAGACACTGCAAACAATTAGTGTAGCCTTTGTGAACGCGAACTATTTTTCACTCTTCAGTCCTTCACAAGGAAAAAAAAGAAAGGGAGCTTCATTAAGGCAGTTATCTGTCTTTTAAACGGCATCAATATTTCCTTTGGAGCCTCTTTGCATCTTGCTGAGGAGCTGTGTAATCTGTCCTCACTTTGATAGTAAAACTAATGAAAAGTAACCTAAATTCATAAAGTCATATAAAAAGAGCTGTTGTGCAAAATCTGCAAAGCAGAAGTAACTGTTCACACCCAGTCTCTAACGACATGGAAGAAATGTTGTCTTTGAAAGCCCATTTGTATATTTTAAACTGCAGTATCTAAATTGCATGTACTGCAGCACCATGTTAGATAAACTCTATAAATTACACTTGGTCACACAGTTTGAAGCTACAAATACACTTGTATCAGATCATGGTTTCAGCAGAAAGGCCTGGAGAAGTAATTTTACCTATCTGACTTTCCATTGCTTATGGCACAGAAAAAAATTCTCCTCCATTTTTTAAATTCAAGCAAATAATTTATACAACGTAATTATTTTTTTCTCATAAAAATCTGGCTTAAAAAATGCACAGCACATACCAATGGCTAAGTCAGCTCTGCATGTGGACTCAAGTGTATTGCAAGAATTTTTCCTATAAGCATTTGTACCTTGTGGGACAATAATGCTCTTTCTTTTGATCTTGCTTCAGAGAGTGATGTAAAGAATTTGCTTGTTGGTCTATCTATCTGGGCATCTTCTGTTTGGAGGATGATATGGTGCAGTGGCAATTCCCTAGGGATTCCCTAATACCCTGATGATAAGTTTTATGGAATCCTGGCCCAGAGCCCTGTCCTGTCAGGGAGATAAATTGTGTTTCTGGATTCAGCTTCCCCAAGTCACCGAGGAGGAGGTGGAATCCATTGCTAGTGTAAGGTTTTAGAGAGTTCTTGCTCTGGGTGACATTTGCTTGTCACTACCAAAGAGAACATGTGCTGCAGGCTGCTTTATATAGGGCAGATCACTTCATGACTAAATATAACTTGCAGGGCTGATCCTTCATTTAGTACAAAGGGCATAATTCTATAAAAGTCATTTGTTCTCTGTACATTTGTCAAAGTTAAAGATCTGTGTTTCCTTTATGAAACTAAGAAAATCTTAGCTCTTCTATGAGACAATGGCATGAAGCTGTGTCAGGGCAAGTTTAGTCTGAATATTAGGAAAAGGTTAATCACCCAGAGGGTGGCTGAGAGCTTCACTGACGTGAAGGCTGTTCAATTTTTATTGCTCCACTGCTGAGCACTTGGGAAGTGGTCGCAGCACCAAACCTGACAGAATTCAAGAAGTGCTTGAACAGTGTTCTCAGGTATATGGTGTGGTTCTTGGGGATGTCTTGTGCAGGGCCAGAAGTTGGATTTTGATGATCCTTTTAGGTCTCTTCCAATTCCGAATATTCTATTCTTCTGTGATCCTCTGTTGTTAAAGAGGAATATATTTGGGATCATTCTGGTAACTATTAAATAACTGCTGAGAAATACTGTTTTTGAAAAGGCAGGAAATAATCGAAAAGGAGGTGCCAGGACAGATCTTAGCCTACCTTCTAACCACCTTAGACCAAGTGTAGTGTTTGGAAAAGGTAAACAAAGGTTTGGTAGACTGACTGCTTGGGAGGTGTCTGAGAACTGTAAATGCTTAGATACTGAAAGTACATAAATTTTTATCACTTCCCTTTGCACTAAGAACTG